CCATGTTGGCGCGGGGGCAGAGGAAAGCGGCGGCCGCGGGTACCGCCGTTGTCTCCTCACCGAGGCTCCCCTTCGGCAAAATAACCCACTCGGGACGGGGCATCAGTCACCGTGCCACCCGAGCAGGCCTCCTTCCGGCCTTCTGCCGTGGATTGATCCCGAATAAGGTCCCAGCCCAACTAAACAGCTTCCCCCGCCCTGTGTCGAGGCCGCGGCCTGTCAGGCAGGGCAGCTCCCTCCCTTGCTGTCGGCCGCGCGTCTGGGGCCTAGTCCCGGTTTATTGCACAAAGGGTTCGAAATGAACATCACTACTCAAAATAGTTAGCCTGATACAACCTCGTTAACACAGTTACATAAGGACAAAAGTAGAGCTATATGCCCCCCCCCCCCCCCCCCCCCTTCTTTTTTCCCCGTCCACGGGCTGCAGCAGTAAGAGGCATGCACGGACCTGATCTTTAACTAGACCAGGCTGGGGCTAACAAAGCCACAGGGCTAACAAAAGGTTTTTCAAGTGCATTAACTCTCCACTGGACAAGGAGCGCTAGTCTGGAGCTCAGCACAGAGCTGATCAGTTAACCAGAGCTGCTGAGTTTTCCCTCTTTTTTTCCCCTCTGCACAGCATTACTTTGGGGCTCTCCTCAGCCACTGTGGTTGAATTTTTCCAATTTGGTCACAAGTTACTTGCAAACAAACAGCAGAGAGGGGTTCATGTGCACAGAAAGGCAGCACTAATCTACAAGTCTGCTTCCTTAGGGAGCCTGGATAAAAAGCTAATTTTCAATTGCAGCAATAAAAAAAGAAAAAGGCAAGTCAAACAACTAGAAGATCAGGATGAAATTCTACCAAAGAGAAGGTGTGTTTGGCATGAAGTTGCCAAATGAAGTTATTGGTACAGGTCACATGGCCTTCTGAACCAGAACAAATTGCATTTACCTGCCCTGAGAGGAAGGGAAGAGAGACGAGGAAGTCACTCCGTTTTAACTGCACAAGGAAAGGGCTCTTTTAAGCACATACACACTGATCTGTTCTCAGTCAGGCTGGATCCGTTTGGAGGAAACATGACTCAGTCAGCAAGGTTAGCTCAACCCATCACTACACAACAGCTTGTTGGAACAGAGACAGGCAGAGCTCCCTCATGCAATATGTACAGATGAGAAAAAGGTTGTCAGAACCTTTCCCTTACTAGAAATGCGAGTTAGTAGATTTTATCTTAGTCTAGTAGGTCAGAGTCATCTCAATGGGGGAGGAAAAGGACAAGAGTGCATCGGTGCGAGGGAGAGGTCAGTGTGTGATCAAGCTGCACCGATATAAATCACTACCTTTGTCTATTTCTTCATGAGAGAGCTATCTTAGCTAGTCTGCTGAGGTATTCTTGATATATACTGTTCTGCCAAGGTGGGAACAAAAGTAAACAGTGTTCACCTAGTTAATATTGCAAGATGACTTACTGAAGCTTACAGACAGCTCTGCATTAATTTAGGTGTCATCTGCCTGTCCAACTTCCATATTTTTTTTGAGTTTTGAATGTTAAAATTTTAACGAGAAGATACATCATTAAGTCTTCATATCTGAACCTCAGACAGAGCCCTATGTTTAGACCTTGACCTGGCAGAGGCCTCATCACATGTTGAGCCATGTTTTTGGAAGAGCTTCATCAACCTAATCATCTGATAATCCCTGTCACCACTGTGAACTTTATAAATTGGTAGATTCTTTTAGGCCAGTTTTGGATCCCTAAGCTTTACCTTAAATCAGCACATCTGCACACATTCACAGCACCACTGTTAGAAAATGCCCTGGTTCAGAACCACCCTAAAGCTGCAGTCCTCACATGTAATCCCATTCCTAAACAATGTCATGTCTGCCTACTTCAGTAACATGCTCATACTGTTTTATACTCCTGTTACCATGGAGAAACAATACAGCTAAGAGCGTTGAGGCACATCAAGAGATTACTTACTTACCCTAAAGCATTCGAGCCTGTGTATAAAGGCCCAAGTACATTCAAGTGAGAATCTCTGCCCCCCGCCCCCCACCTCCCCCCTACTGGAAATTTAAAAAAATACTTCTCAGGTTGGTGGTGTTAAGTTGCTAAGGCTATCTCTTTATCAAACCACTTAGAAGGCTGAACTTTTTAAAAATTATTTTTAAAAGGAGATTAATTCATACCATAGTAGTAAGGGTAGTATCTAACCACTCAATTACACTACCAAACAAATATTTGCAAGTGCAGTAGGACTGTGCTTTCAAGCTGCAGTATGCTGTTACCCATTATTATAAAAGTGAGAAATCCCAGTTATTTTCAGTTGTTGGGTAATTTAATTGTGGTAAGAACAGCATTTCTTATAAAGCTAAGTACATAAAATACACACATAACTGATATAGACATGTAACCTTAACAACAGCCTCTCAGTTTAAAAAAAAAGAAAATTACATTTTTTGCTGTTTAAGTTAGATACATATTTCTTACACCTTTGCCTCTGGGAAAAACTAAGACAGCTCCCTTGTTCTCTAAGTTCTATACTTCAGGAGTTCGCCTCTTCCTATTCATACTTTGAAGGGGAAAAAAGTAAGTTAAAGGGATATGCTCTCCTCATTGCTGTACACTCTCTTAATTCAGACAGTAGATCCTTCACCTCAGCTTTTCCTAGATCATGCAGATAGACATCAGCCATATCATAAAAATGAGTGTTAGGTAATGTGAACTTCTGAAACAAGAAAGTGCTAGAGGAAAGCACTTCAGCTTGAATTTGCAAAGCTGCTACTTGTATGATAATGATGGCCGTATGAAAAACAAAACAACATTGCTGATAACCACAAGTAATGCTCCATTAAAATTGCCCTTTCTTTGGTCTCAAAAATACATTAAAAAAATAATCTTCCTTTCCATTTAAATGGAAAGTGACATCTACCCATACATAACAGGTGCAATTCTATGCACTTTATTTATCCATCATATAACATTTTCCTCCTAACTATTTTACTTTCTAACGTAAGAGAATGTTTTTCTCTCCAAACCAGTTTCCCCTCTCAAAAGTAATTTGGGATCCTCCCTTTGGGACTTGGCCTTCAACAGATCAGTTACTCTGGTTTCTCTCACTTTTGTTTGTGCTCCTTTAGGCTTTTAATTAGTTGCTCTCTGTACCCCTGTTTTTTTTCCATTATTCACTCTTAGTCTTTCCAAATCCCTGTCCTCCTCCTGTTTGCGAAGAGCAGTGACAAAGGGATGACAAAGGCTTTCAGGAGGAGACTGGATAGTCTCAGGAGTCCCATCCCACCTGGGCTTTGAACCTTTCCGTACACCTTCAGTGTTGCAGGAGGACCCTGGCATTTATCTTTTCCTAGTTCTGCTCTCTTACAGCCTTGTTTGTCCTGTTCTGGCTGTTCTTCTCAGAACCCTACATCTGACCATCACAATACGCCCCTGGTCTCTTC